CTGATTGGTCGAGCCTTCACCCCCACTACCGGCGTGACGTAGAGGCGGGAAGCTCTCGACCAATCGGGAAAATTTGTGTTCTACCCGCCTTGAGAAGTACCCACAATTCTTCTTCCCTCCGTTATATTAGCCGAAATAAACTATGAGAGCCAGTCTTAATAAGACATGGAGCGAATTCACTCCCCACTTCTCTGGACCTGCCCTTGCCCTCCCCTAAGCTCAAGGCGCCTCAGTAGAATCAGTAGGATCTGCCCCAGTCTGAAAAGATCAATCAAAATAACGCCAATTTGACCGTCAAAATATAATCAAATTTGGGGCCACATTTTCATTAAATTGACGTATTTTTCGTCAAGTTGAAGGTTTTTGATTGACCATTGTAGACGGGGCTGCAATAAGGTCGTAAAAAGTGTTTTTTATTGTGGTGTAAGGGTAGGGTGGTAGAAATTTTTTTGTATAGGTACAAAGAGGAGATTGGACGTAATTTAATTCCACAGAGTTCTCCACCCACATTAGCTCCCTGTTTTACTTAAAATAGCACCTTAAAACATATTTCGGCTTTGGTTTGAACTTTTATAAAGTTCGAAGTTTATTCAAATGGCTACACCTACCATCTGCACTGGTTAAAGGACTAATATACCGGGTGTTTTCGTTTGTTTGTTTGTTTGGACGCGCCGGAGTGATGGGGGATTGCACGACCCTGTATGTCATTGTGACTTATGGCGTCATAAATCAAAATTTGGCTCAAATTCCTCATTGGGATGACAAAGTTCGCTCAGCGCCGCTCAGCGCCTTCGATTTTCTCGCCCCTCTCCTTTACCCCCATCCTCCTCGAGACTCGGCACTGGAACCGGGTTCGACTCACGTCGAAAGCGGACCGTGGAAATTCCCCCGGCTGGGTTCCGACTTGCACGAAAATCGGGTGTAAGCGGTTGCCTTTTCCTGGCACCTTTCCGTGGTGGCGGGTCCGTTACCTAGGAATCTGTCTGTAACGGAGTTCCAAGACCTGTGGGGAGTCAGTAAGTTTAAACAACGTCCACCGTCTCTCAGCACCCCCGGGAGCCCGCTCCCGGGGAGTATGTTCTGATGGCTACATTTGGTTGGAAGCTGCTGTTCCGACTCCACCCCCAAAGTCACCAACGACTGCGGTGTGAGGGACGTTACTCCCCCGGGTGGGGGGAGGGGGGATGTGGATATGGAGAGGGGCGTGAGAATTGAGCGGACTTTGTCTTTCGTCTACCGTCGGATCGTGTGAAGCTGCCCGTGACCGTGCCACAGCCACAACTTACTGCGTAGCTGCAAACTGAGTCGTGGGGATTGCATTATTGCGCCTTACGGGCGAAAGGAGTAGGCAAGCCCGCATACACCGGCACGTGCAAAAAACACCCGGTATATTCCATCTTCAATTAAATATTTTATTTGGCGCAGAACTTGCTTTTTGCAGAACTCTTCGTACATGCCACGTCTTCAGAGATTGGTCATTCCACTTTAAACAGCCTTTTTTGGTCGATCCAACTCTTTGTTCATATGCCGCCCGAAACCGACAGAGACAAGCATACTGAGAACCCTCTCTGATAGGCGAAAGGATCCATCGATAACGGGTTTCAAAATGGATTTCATACGGCAGTATTTCTAAAATGGAATACTCGATATTTTTTCTCATTAGATCACTACATACCGGTCTTTCAAAAGATCTAGTACAACAGGGTTGACTTAAAAATACAAGGAAACGTACGCTAAATGAATGTACAACTTTGATCTCTCCCTAAAGCTAGTGAACGAAATTAGGGAGAGAGGCACGTATAAAAGAACAGAATTATTGGAATTATAAGGTAACAAACAACCATAACATGAGACTGAAATCAGTTTTCTTGTTACTTGATGACGAGAGCGAATGTTGGTGCTCTTGGAGCACAGAGATCACATCACAGTTTCCCCTTTTATAAATATTCTTGTGGTAACACAGTACTAATCGACGATAGTCAGAAAGAGAGATTTCGTGGCACTTCGAAACGACTTCAGAGGCACACGACTGTCCAGTCGACACAGCCCGCTGCAGTCCGGCGGCTGGTCCCCGTCAGTGACGCGTCAGTGAGCAATGCGCTGCGAGCGCGACAGGTACGCGCACCAGTACGCGATGTTGATGGTGAGGAAGAGGAGGGGGAAGAAGACCCGGGACGCGCGGTCGATCTGCGAGACCGAGTTGAAGCGCGGCGTCCGGGGCTTGTGCCGACGCCGACCCGTCCTGCTGGACCGGGAGCCTGGGGGCGAGAGCAAAAAGAAAAACAAGAGTTAGTAAAGTAAAGGTCAAAGTAGGGTGTGAACAGGGAATTCCACACAAAGGAGGAATAGGGTCAAACGAAAAAGTGTCTTGCCTACTTCATTTAGTCAACAATATACTTGTTTTGAAAGCATTTGGATTGTATAACAAATTAAAAGTTGTCGTGAAACAAGCGCATTGCCCTTGCAGGAATCAAGTACGTACACAAAAAATAAGGTACGATGTACACTAAAATCAAGAAAACACTTTTTGTGGTGTACTTTTCTCTACAGTTATACTGTACGGGATGCAGGCGTGTGGACATGTTGCATACTGGTAAGAGTCGACAGGCATGCCCGATACCGTACGCGTGCATGCGGTGGAGCATAACCAGAAACTATTTGCCCTCTGGTAGAGACAGTCTTTAGGGACTGTCTGAAAGGTATGGCGCTCGCGTGCCCGTGCTCACCCTGGAGGCTGAGGCGGTGGCCGTGGCCGGCGCTGGGCGCGGGCTGCACCCGGGTGCGCATGTGCACGGCCGGGCTGGAGGCGGCGCTGGGCGCCGAGCTGGTGGCCGCGCTGCCCGCGGCGCTGGGGGCCGACCCGCACCGGAAGCACGACCACGAGGACCAGGCGGGCGCGGCGCCGGCCCCGGGGCCCACGCCGCCCAGGGGCAGCGGCCCGAGCGTGCCCAGCTCCAGGGGGATGACCTCGGGCATCTCCAGCGCGCGCCGCCGCGCAGACTCCCGCCGCACCTCGTCCTCGTCCGACTCCGAGTCGGACATGAAGTCGGCGCTGAAGTAGCACTCGCCCGAGCCGTACTTTGTGAAGTAGTGCACCACGGCGAACTGCGACATGGTCGGACGACAAGCAGGTCAGCACCACACGACTCACCCACCACAACAACACTCCGGAGAGATCGCCTACCTGGATGATAGTGGCGAAGATGAAGGCGAACGATAGGAAGACGAAGAAGTCCAGGGCGGTGGGGTACGGCACCTTGGGCAAGTCCGTGCGCGCCTCCAGTCCCAGGAAGGTCATGGTGAGCACGGTGGTGATCCCCAGTGACACCCGGTCCGCCGTCGCCTCCCGGTTGAGCCAGAAGGACACCCAGGACAGTACGACCAGCAGGATGCACGGCCCGTACACCTGGATGAGGAAGTTCCCCATGTGCCGCTGGAGGTGAAAGGATACTAGGAGCATGGAGTGTTCACCTGCGGGACAGAAACGTCGATGCGATTAGTGACGCAGCGACGAAAACAAAGACATTATGTTTTACACGACGTTTCCCCCCTCGAGTCTTGCAGTGACGCTGCTGTGACCCGGGGTTTGAGTGGGTGCGGCGTCCTACTCACGCCCTTTACCCACGGACCCTTTCACTTCAGTGCTCACCGACACCGACGGTGGAGGGCGCGGGGTGCGCGACGAGGCAAGGCTAACTAATCCCGAGGGGACGTGCCTGCGCATCCTGTGGTAGCCCACCCCACGAGCAGAAATAAAGAAAGAACTGCAGAAGAAAAAAATAGGGAAAGAGTAGACAGGACATGTCTAAAGAGCCGCGCAAAACGTTGTGCTTTGCTGCTGCCCTCCCTACGGGTAGGAGCCACCGCCCTCGTGCTGCTAGCTGCTGGGCGTGTAAGGTGGTGTGAGGTGTTCATTTTTCGCAGATGGTCCCTTAAAGCGCCCAGACTACACATCATGTAACTTTTCCATATTTTCTTTTAAATAACGAAAATACTATTGAAAATAAACGAAATTTTTGACCAAGCAGAAAATATAATTGTGCACATGTCAACGGTGCTTGCAATGCTCGCAGCGTTGTCAGTGTGTCACACATTTAGGCTACACGTCACGTCACATCTCCAGTGTGAAACTAAGCCCCACTTTTCGGAACAAAAAGTGAGAAATGACTGTCGAATTGACGTCAAGACGGAAGAAGAAAAGATATCGAAACGATATCGTTTCAGTGTTAACTTATCGGGTCGGAAAGCCGTACCGCTTGATCAACACAGAGCCAGCCACCGAGGGATGGCGCCACGGGTCCGGCTGAGCGGCGCTCCCGCATTGCGAGGCGCCGGCGCCAGGGGGCGCCGGTAGTGGAGACCGCGGGCCGTCCGCGAGGGAAGTCACGGGGGCGCGAGCCGAGCCAGCATTTGAAACGCCGCTCGCACCTCCTTACACGCACGCGCCCACACTACTCACCAGTCTTGAGCACGTCGGTCTGGTTGTTGGTCGGGTTGCCGATGAGGTCGAACTGGGACAGCTTCATGTCGTCGGCGATGGCGACCTGCCGGTTGGTGTTCCACCGGTAGAGCACGTCGCGCGTCGTGTAGCCGACTGCGCAGACGGAACACACATACGACATGAGTGGGGTGCTGATAGTTATCGAATCTAGTCGGGTTGGATTCGAGATGAAAAATGAAGGCAAGAGCGGGCAAGGGCGAAAAAGGGTTCTCATACATCACACTAGAAGAACACAAACAGGATAGAAAGAGTGGGCAGGGATCGGATGGAAACAATCGTGCTTGAAAAAACTTGGACACAACATGTGACCCCTTGCTCTATATATGAAAAAAGTATATTTACGTTTGCATTTGTAAATGTTCATAGGGCCATTTGTGAAATTATTATCATTCCCGTAAATTTACCACTGCACTTGCAAATCAAAACCGTGAAAAATGTTTTAAATTCACGATAGTTTATACAGTTGGAGTGTGGTATAATCCAATAATTAATAGGGCATACCAAAAGTCAAACTGATGGACCAATAAGTGTGCAAAACTGTAAGTGTTCAACCATCCGGAGTTGTGCACTTACGAGTGTGCAAATCCCGAGTTGAACACTTGCAAGAAAATATACAGGGTGGCCCATAGACTCACTCCTTTACTTTGCTTATAATGCACCGCATGCAGGCGTGCGAGGCGGGCTTGCCTACCGTCACTCACTACGGCGCGCTACGGCGCCTTATGGATCCGTGTGAGTATGCAACCCGCTCGCACGATTGCATGGGGTACAGTATAAGCAAAATAAAAGAAGGGGTCTGTGGGTGGACCACCCTTTAAAATTTAGTATTCAACTTGCCAACTTGTAGTTGCACACTTACAAACAGTGTTGAGCAGCAATAAGCTGCACACTTGTTTTATCAATGCACTCGTGATAACTATTTCACACTCACTCACAGATTGGTCACACATTTACGTGGTGAGTCATTTTTGTCAAAAGCCATTAGTTTGGCTCGTTGCCATCAATTTCCCCTAATCATTTATTTTCACATAGTATTTCTTCGAAACCGAGATCGAGAAGTGCAAGAAGCTGCGCAACAGAGACTATGCGGCGCTAAGTCCCGAGCAAGGGGTCGCCTTGCAGTCAGATCCCTCGGCCCCCCCTCTCTCTCTTTCTCCCACCCCGTCTTGGTACTGGCGCACCCGTCCGCCCGTCGCTCGTTCTCTCGCTCTGTCCCGGCTACGCTACGGAGGCCGCTGAGCGCTGCAGCCGTTTGACTGGCAGGCGGGGTTGGAGCTTTGTAACTGCTTAGGGGTTTCCCACGGAGATACGGCGGTACAACTGTTCCCTCCCCCTGCCCCCCCC